CACAACAACAACAGCAGCAGCAACAACATGCTAATGCACCGCACCTCGCGCATCACTCACAACAGCAGCAACAGCAACAGCAGCAATCGCCCAGCAGCAGYAACAACAACAACAACAACAGCAACGGCAACAGCAACAGTTTGCATCAGCATCAACAGCAACAGCAGCAGCAGCTGCAGCAGCATGTTGCCGCCGAGCAAAGCCTGCAACATCATCAGCATCAGCAGCATGTGGCCAATGCAGCGGCCGCCAGCAAAAGCAGCGCTGCTGCCGCCGCTGTCGCTGTCGCCGCCTCCCAAATGCCGCCCCTCTCTGCCGCCGTTGCCTACTCGCATCTGCACAGCGTCATGGGCGCCATGCCCATGTATGATATGGGCGAGTATCAGCACTTATGATTCTAGTTGGAGGCTGCTGCTGCAGCCAGTAGCAGCAGCGGCAACAACAACAACTGCCACAGCAGCAGCAGCAGCAGCACTAGCACTAGCACTAGCAACAACAACAACAACAACTGCGAATGGCCAGCTATGCTGCGTCAACGCCAGCCGCGCAGCCTGCAACTGCAGCATCAGCAGCAGCAGCATCCGGAAAGCTTTTACTTCTAAAGCAGCAATAAGATAATAGAGAATCGCATACTATCAACAGTTAGCAGCAGCAGCAGCAGCAACAAATTTGATTTCATCAACAAATAGCAGCACAGCATTTTTTCAATATCAGCAAAACAGTTAAAAAACAGATACAAATACAGATACAGATATTTACAGTTATGTAGTAGAAAAGGCTATAGAGAGAGAGGATGGCAGCAAAATCTGTTGCTAATTCTTGATTAGACAAAAAATTATGAATTACTTAAACTTCATTGATCTGTGTAAATAGCTAGGCTTTAGTTTTAGAGCGGAACGGGCTGGGAATGGAACGAAGACTCAATGCGATACGGTATGGAATGGAATCTTGACCGTTCTCTGCCCAAAAAAACGCAAATGCAAATCAAATCGAAATGTGCAAAAATTATATATATATAA